CATATATACTTGTGGGTATAGAACTGAAACTATACTTACAAAATGCTTACATACTGGTTCGACGTGTAAAACACAACCAGAGATCCGTTTTTGTCAAGTTTCCAAGTACTGTTTTTTTGTTTACCAAGATCATAATAATTATGCAGATATTCGCTATACATGATTGTCTGAAATATAATAATAAATTACTGAGGCACGTACAATGAGTAAATGTAACTCCCGATACTGGAGCGTCTGTGCAATATCGTCATAAAAATTTAAAAATATCCGGTTCAATTTTTATAAGCCACTAATGTTACTATCGCCAAAATGGCTACTTCTGAAAACGATTTTTTCTTATCAGATAATAAAATTAACATCCGTATAACGTAAAGAAGATTATTAAACTTAACATTTGGCCTTACCGCAAGTCCAGATACTGAACCCTCGATAGACGTGAATTCGTAACAAGGATTATACTCGTAGACATAAGGACCTCCGCGTGGATTTGGTCTGTGATATCTAAAGGTAAATATTTGTAAAATGCTCCTGTTTTAATACATCCGTACACTTTGTATGTTAGTTAGAATATTGCATGATTCTGCGTAATACAGTTTTTTTGACAACATAGCCAGCAAACAAGATCCAAAAAGTGCGTAGAAAGAACCAAAAATAACAAAGCGTCTTGCAGTCGGTTAGAAGGGGTAATGGATTCGAATAGCCTCCTTTGTAAAAGATCACTGGACTTTTTACACTGGAACTTCAATGTTGTCAGAAGTGTATCGAAGGCTCTGTAGATAAAAAGCTTTTGTAGACTAATAGCATATCGTCACGCTAATAACTGAATTGCGTAAGTCATTTTTGGCGATTTTGAGTTTTTTTTATAAAATAGGTATTTATGTAATGCTGCGCACCTGCCTGTTAACTCAGATTTTATTTTAAGAATTCCGAAACCCATAAAAAAGGAGATTTAGTATGACATGCACATTTATGCAATTGTTTCGTCATAATGAATTATCATTATTGTGACGTCACAAAGACAAAATTACCTCGGCGAAGTATTTTCGTGTTTTTGCATCTCGGATTCTGGCTTAGCGCGAATTAATTTGAATTAATACCACAGTATAGGAAGACGTGCACTTGTGATATTCACTGTCCGAGTCCAACTCACCTTGGTTGGCTTTTATATTGGATGCATTGCTGTTTTATTCTTTATATTTAATCTTAGTCTTATTTCGGTGGGTGTGCAGAAGGTGTTATATTGATGAAATATATATTTTCAAACATAAAAAATAATGTAATTGAAACTGATTAGCTGTTTTGGGGATTAGACATTGCAGATACTGAGAATTACATTCGTTTTTAGAATGTTAAGTTTTCAGGACTGGTGAATATAGTAAAGTTGCAAAATTGCGTGTGTTCCCAAGTCATAGACAGATTTCTGCCTAAGTCACAGTGCGCCATTATGACGTCACTTAACTGCGTCATACAAATTAACTTAAATCCGGCTACGATCAAAAAATTGAATCATGGCAAATTATTGACTCTCGAGGGCCTAACAATATCGTTAGGAAGTTTTTTACGTTTTTCTCAAAACTGCAAAAAATGATTTACGCAATTCGGTTATTAGCGTGACGATATTATAATACAATGAGGAAGCGTTCCGGATTTTGAGATCACATTTCGGCGCTCCAGAAGTGTGTGTACCAATATGGAGGTTTCTAATTTTGTTCGACTTCTTTAGATCAAGTTGTGTAAAGGGACTGGAACCTATGGACAGGTGGTATATTCACTTGGCCAACACAGACAGTGCCCGAACTCGTAATAGAACTAAAATAAAGAAAATCGGAATGAAATTATGACCCAACCCTAACCGGGTACACACCCTACGGGAGTACCCACTTCTCAACCTGAATAGTCAACCTGGATTCGCTAAGTTATAGGCTGTCTATTGATCCATGGTATATATATATCCAAGATATATAACTATAATCTTAGGCTTAGTAAAAAATAAAGTCTTACTTACAACGCCGTCAGATTTGTATTTCCAAACGTGATATCAATAACTCCGGACCCGTTAACTAAATCACATTTACAAGTATCTTTGTCATTGTTTTTGCATATGGTCTGTGTAAGCCCAAGTCCGCAACAAAAAATAACAAGAACGGTGGCAACATTTTCTTTCAATTGCATTTTAAGTAAAAATCACTTTAAAATTCATCCACAAACTACATGAAATTCAAATCAACTAAAATCTCTTATGTAACAGTTTTGTTTGCTGTTCGTTTCATTATTCAGCGATGTTTAATTGGATTGCGGTTTGATAAACAAACGCATTCTTAGTGGTTTAGCAAAGATTAGTCTAGTCGTGGGCAAAGTACCAACTCGATAAGTCATACTGACAAGCCCGAGTTTAAATGTTCTGTTTAAATAATGTTTTCCGGGGCCGTAAACAGGAGACCCTTAGTCGTAAAGAACGTAAAGAACCAGCGAACGGATTAAAATAACTTCAAACGTCCACAACACTTTCACCCATAACGTATGAAACATATAATCAACTGGTTATAGCTTATAGTTGTTTCCATGATCATTTTTATCCAAACAGTTTTCAAGTCTCGTGTCATGAACTGATATAATTAATATATATTTTCAATAAATCTTGGCACTTCATTCATATCCCATACCTTGCTCCCTTACTCCTGAGTGAGTACTGCGCGTGAATGAAAAAGAAAATGGCAAAACTTGAGTAGACTATGTTCAAATGTCATTTGTCATACTCTAAATACGAGTTTTGAAAATTGCAACATCGAAAAACAGTCGCAAACTTGATCATCAACTGGCGACTTCAGTGAAGGTTCATATCGTTACCGTGTTGTATTTTAAACTTTCGGATTAGAACGATGAGAACGAAACTGTTCAATGTTTCTGAAATGAGAAAATATGATCAAATAGAAGTTGAATAAAATCGATTATTATGCCGAAAAGGAGATTACTTCTGTTCGATTACTTCTTCTAAAATGGCTATGTAATGCCTACTAATACTGTTTTATTTCAATTCAATTGACGAAAATGAGTATAGAAAGGCGTATGAATAACATATGCATGGCACGTGCATACCGTTTACTCCGAAGCAAAAATTATTTCCAGTTCAATACAACAGATTTTATTTGTATACATGCATATAATTTTCCTTATGTATCTATGTAGTTATATTAAATAAATTGAAAGAGGAACGGCTTCAAAACCTTTCTTTCATTTGCTCGGTTGCTGAAAAAATACGTTTCTGTATTTCACAAAGTTGTTTGTTCAGTATTTGAAAATCTTCACTGCTTGGGTCAAGTGCCGAAAGACTTTGCTGTAGCTCTTTACTTGCTTCACGCAATTCCCCAACAGTATTGTATAACTCTTCATCTTCTTTCTGAACGTCAGAATAAAAAATGTCAGTTTAAAATTTTCAATTTGAGGTACTAAAATCAGAACGTGCGTTCGTAAATGTTCACCTTCAAATTTCTTATTGCAATGTGAACCAATAACGACGCCAATTCTAATTCTTCACTGAAAAGGTTTTTTAATGGCACCGATCTAAATCCTGAAAACAATAGAATAGAGAAATTAGAAAATATCAATATAATTTTTCAAACCAGCATGTTAGTTTGTTCTGCAGTTAACAAGACACGTGTACACTCTGGTTTTGATAGAAATTTGCAAGGGAATGGAATTCTTCATAGAAAAAATTATGACAAATAACCTTATTTGCCCATTTACCAACCTGTTCTTAGACAACGCACTGGCAAGGTACACTGAGCTATAAGATTGGGATCTCCAAACATATCTTGATCAAAAACTGCAAACCGTATTAAAGACTGCACTGGGCAGTGAATTGCAAACTCGAATGATTCTTGAAATACCGGATTTAACCCATTTTCATCTGTGTAAAAATACTTTTATTAAAGTCGATGATTTTGTATGAGGCACATCCTTTTAAACAAAACACATATTTTTCTTGCCTTGTTTTGCTGTTTTAAATTTCTGACAGTCGTATTCACATCCTAATATTTCGACTTCAACAAATAGACAAGATATACCTCGCCCAGACTTTGGCAAATGTCGTCCTGCAATAATCTATAACAAATCATCCTCTTTTAAATGTGCTTCACATCGAAGACAAACAAAAAAATTATAATAATGGTTGGAATATTAAAAATTATTCAAAGATATAAAAAAAGAAATACGTACATGTACGTTAATTACCAGTGGATCAACGTCAAGAAGATGGTTTTTCAGATACGGATTGTAATTTGAGTCAGAAAATATTAATGGTTTGAGAACAAATCCACATTGGCCGTTTTCAGAAAATCTCGCTTGATTTAACTGCATTGATTTATCTGAAGTGAAAATTTTTAGAATCAATAGTTAATCCATTGAATAGGAAACTGTGATACGTTACCGGGAGTTTGAAAGTTTAACGCAACAAGCTGACATCCACAGTTCCACATTGGAATCGGATTATAATTAGACGAATCGACTCGGCCTCCTTTCGGATATATTCTTGAAAGTTGCCGTTGATTGTATGAAATGAATTGATGAGCTTTCTCCCGGCATGCAAGTGTTTCTGCCTTGTTCTCGGGAAAAGATGACATTTCGTATGGGGAACCATTCTCTAAAAATAAACATGTCTAACAAAATGCACTTGGCAATGTTCAAAATTACCAAACGCAAAAAGTAAAGCACTCAGTAAGATGCACTTTAGGACTACAACTATACAGAGCATAAATGCTTTAAATTGAAACTAAAATGTAAAAATGAAAACCAACTGAAAATACTTTTTTCCAGATTTAATTATTGCGTCAATATAAAAGCTAGATAAAATCATTTCATCTACTGTTTTGGAAAATATTATTTTGGACGAATACTGAATTGCTTATATTTAAATTAAAACATTAAGCTTTATTATTTATACATAGTCAGGAACGAGTTAATGGAGTAAATGGAGTCCGACTCAGGGGATGTTTCATGTATGTCTATGTAATATAGTTTTTACAGGTGTAGGAAAGACCACATACGTTTATTGAATCTCTCTTCCTTAAAAGCAACTGGTTGGCAATATATTAAAAGATCGGATATTTCAACTGCGTTTCTTTTGTGTATCTCAATGTCTTTCTTTTTTTTGTCTGAAGTGAAGGCATATGCACATTTAAACCATATCGTCATTTATGTAGTGCAGTGACGGACGAAATCAATGTTTCCGTGTTTCAAAAGAAACGTTACGAGCACTCAATTAAAGTATAAGTTTATAATAACTATACATATAGAGATGACAGCACATTTGCACCCACAGATGTTTGCACTCAAGTACATTTACACTCGCGGTCATTTGAATTCATGGATATTTGCTCCCAAAATTATCCTTAACTCACAAATATTTGTATTTCAGATAATCTTTATTTCTTTATTATATATATTGAAAATCAAGACCGCTTACAAATTGTAAGTATAATTAGTTAGAGCCATTACAAGTAATGGTATAGTAAGAATCCTCTTCAATTTAATGTAAAGATATTTGAAAGAAATGGACGCGGGATTTGCAGGCTATATAATTTAGTGTCTAGGCCCTAGATTCATATAGCAAGAATGTTTGTATAGTATCTGGCTATCGTTTTTTCTCAATTGCCCCTTTTACATAGAAAATCCAGGATAGCATATTTTCGTTGGTTTCCGCAGCGAGATCGTAATCAGACAAATGTCCCGCGCATTTCAAACGAAAATGAAATCTCCGCATTTCTTTTCCAGCTGGTACATTTTCTGAATAACATGTTTGTGTCAACCACAGTCTACTTATATTACTATCGAAAGGAAACATATGTCAAAAAGATTTTGCCGCTTCCGCGTATGCTTGCAACAATCATATCAATACTTTTTTCGTGGAATCGGAAATTTGCTTTGGGCAAAAGCCTGTGAGAAAGCTGTGAAATAACTGGTTTAATTTACTACAACATTGAATTTTAAACCAATTGTCCCTGCAAATCATCCTTTTGCAACTCTCCGAGCAAATTCACAACCTAATTAAAATACTAAATCGTCAGACTTACATAAAAATACTAGAAAATCTTAGATTTTGTGTCAGCCCTGTTACTGAAGAATTCCATGATCTATTCAAATCTAAAGTTTCTGAGCTCCAAAATTTGTTCTTATCGACGAAATATGACTTCACTCGGCTAGTTTCATGAAAGTTACAACCGAGCAAATAAATATATGGACTCGACGGCCACATAACTGTGCCAAGGAGACTATATCGGGGTGAGATAACCATATTTTCAACGGCAGTATGGCGCGAAATTTCTTACATGTCACAGGCCCAGCAACGAGTTCTCTGAGCAACATGATGGACAAGCGTCCTAAATCTAAATCCATTGACACATTACTTGAGACTAAGCAATTTTACCCCAAAACGTCGTCCCTAAATCAAGACTGACAACAACATTTTAGCAAAACGAGCGCTATGGACACTTCTAATAACGGAAGAAGCTTTACCTCCGCAAATGTTTTTAATCGACAAGACTAGCTTCCGTCTATCGTCGTTTTGCAAATTTTATGTTGAAAGTATTTCCAATACTTCGTGAATTACTTTTATGACTTAGACTGAATAGACTACAATATACAACTACTTCAGCCTAGCTTATCCACCATTTGGAAAATCACACAAAATTTGTTATTAGTACATTTGCATGGTATCTTGAACATAATTTCAGAGAGTAAGTATTATATAATTAGAGTTAAACCCACATTTTCTGATTCGTTTGCCGTTTCTTGTGATAGGATTTCCTCAACGAAATTGCTGGGAAACCAAGCTCCTTTTTTTCCACCATAGTCTCCGCGCCACCTATTGTTCAAAACTGGTTTTACTTTTCCGCATAAAAATTGCGTTGAAGGGCAAGTATAAAATAAGAACTCGATTCGCATGTTACGAGGTCCTAATATTTTAAAGACAATATAGTAGAATATTAAGATTTCTGTCGATCTGTAATTCACGCTGCATACTGGGTTTTTTATCAGAGAATGTTTTGGACAAATAAAAAAAAATTGTATGGAACATTTACGCGAGACAAACTAACTAACATTGTGTGTACGAACAAGTGTTTGAGACGCAATTGCCAAACGGTCGTTTGTATTTCTGCGCGTTGGTCTTGTTCGATCTCAGATGTAAGTAACGCTTTCAAATTTCAATTTGACGATAGCAAGAATCTTATATCTTACCATCCCCAATCGTCTTTTACTACGTTCGTTATTATGGCATGTTTACAAAATGAAAGTTCATCTTCACGATCGGCATGATAATCGAAAAGTGATTTCACAGTTACCGTGAATGGATTTGCCTGAACATAGACCAAATTGCCGTTTTTTTGCTCATATAGCTCTGCATCCTAAAACAACAAAATATTTATTTTGCCATTTCCACTGTATAATATTCTATACTATATTTAATTCCAATATATATGAAAACTAACGCAGGTTTAATTTGTACTTCTCATCGGAACTCACAAAAATTGTTCCGTTTTGCAAACGAAATGGACACATGTAAATTTTTCACACGATATGCATTGTAAACTATAGTCCCTATGATATTAAATATTCCCTTGTAAACTTTCGATGATTTCCCTCGTGACAGGATATCTCAACTTCGTGTTTTTATAAAGCGAGTTCTTTCCGTAAAATATGACGATGTCACACAAAGTTTCGAAATTTCCATTCCCGATTCTGTACAATCTTCCATCTACGTCAACTTTACAATGTTTAACATTTCCCTTTGCTCTGAGAATTTTAAAAAAAGTTTCGTAATCATCATGTATGGTTCAGATACAAGAGCAAAGTTTTCAAAAGTTTTTTAAACTATGTCAACATGGTTTAATACCCTGAGAAAGTTTAAAACATTAACCACAGAATATCTCTTCTCCTTTCAATCACTAAAATAAAAATAAGTTTACAGCGAGTGAATTTTTAATGATTAATTATTAGTGAACATACAATAACCTGAAAGATATGGTGTAACCGACTGTGTTGAGTTCACGTTTACCACTTTTTCGAACAAGAAATACATCATCCTTATCCATGCGCATCAAAATAGTTTCTGCGGTGGAACGATCAAGGTGTTCGTAGTACCATCTATACATGAATGTATCGAAATTAACTTGAGCATTGTGGTAAGTTGTGGCTGCTCGACAACCATTTTCAAAATTATACACTTGTTCACGAATATTCTACTGGCGAGAATTTTACCAAACATTACGCAAAACAATTACTAGTGAGAGTGAATTCTTGCTTTTTTACATTTCGTGCAGGCTCTTGCATCCAAGTAGTTAGGTGATTTGTACTCATTTGTGTATACCTTGTCGAGGTTATTTTGGCACTGGCGAGAAAACGAAATTCAGGCACATTGCAACGTTCAGTGAGTTTATATCATTCACATGCACTCACTAAAGACAGTTATCGTTTACACCAGTGGTTCTCAACCGCCGGTCCGCGGAGCAGTGCCGGTCCGCGACAACCTTGCTGCTTGTCCGCCAAATATATTTAAATAAAGATATATTATAAGCAAATTGCAAAATAAAAAGTATTGACGGCATGTCCATCATTTTTGTTATTTTTTAATCCTATTGATACGGGTCTTCGTCTAACAACCAACTTGGTGAGAGGTCCTCTGTCCATTTAAAGCCCTGAACGGCTGGATGTTCGTTAAGTCTATGACCTCATAACGGCGGTATACGTCACAACGGAGGAGTTGATAGCACAGGGTTTTTCAAACTTTTTTTCGCGACCTCAATCAAAGACTACAGATACTCGCGAACCCACTACCATAAACGTTCAGCAACTTCTAAAAGCAGTATATTCATTTTAATTCGCTCAATGGGAACAATGTGCTTGTTAATCCACTGCAAGTGGACGTGAACATTGGCCCAAAAATATATGAACGATCCCGCAATGCGCGGAAAAAAACGCGGAGTCCTCAGAAAGTTTGATAAAACATGAAATCATATGAAAAACCACATTGTAAACATCTCTGAGATTAGAATTACAAAGGTTCTTGGCGAAACATAGACTAACTTGATAAAACGTGGTAGATTGTAAGAAAGCGTGCGATACTACTTTTAGTTCAATGTTAACATGTTACCGATTGCTCCATGAATAATTCCATGAATAATAAGTGAAACGGAGCATGAAAGTAAAATAGGAAAAACGAGTACGGATCACATCTTAGTAAGTGCCTTTCATTGTGCTAGAATTTATTGTTGGTTTGTGTTTGACCGTTTGGAACGCTTCGAAATTATGTATGAAACGTCTAAAATACGATAATATTGCAATACGAAAATGATCCTTTTTTGGCGGAGGCGATGTGAACAAAACATATTGCCTCCTTGATTTAAGACACGCGCGCGAATTAACAAAGCGCTTTCGCAACTGATCGAAACCTAAGGTCATTAATAGGCCAAGACACGCCCTGGCAATTAATACATTATACTTGTCAAACACCTAATTAGAGGCCGATCGCCAAATAACTCAACTTTGCTTTGTATAACCAAGCGGCTACACAGGTACATAATAACAAACCAACCAACATCATTTCTCGCAGCCTGGCAAAAAATCCGGTCCGCGAACCAGCGGTGGGACCACTGGTTCAGCCTGCATTTAATGACGAATGAAAAGATAAGGACTAAGGTCAACTACTCATTCGGATGTAACATGATCAAAAAAAAAGGAAAATACTATTGGCGTTCGTAACACCGTCGGGCCTACCCGCCGACCAGCACAAATTTTACTTTCAAAGCCTAGTCACTTGTGTGCGCATGTTTAACAAAAATTGGGCGACCCCGGAAAATCTTCACGCGACCCCACCCAGGGTCGCGATCCACAGTTTGGGAACCACTGTGATAGCACACAGTACAGAACCCGATTGAGAACTTCGCAGTTCGCACGTTCCGCAATTTGAAAGTAGGTCTATAAATTAGCGAGGTTTGATAGTAAAATGGGGGCAAACCAGCAGCAAAGTATTATTCAGTTCCTTCAAAAGAAACCCAGCGGTGAAAACCAAGTTAGTGGTGTTGACAGGGCAGAGGGAGAAACTGCTACTTCAACTTTACAACATGCCCCGATACGACCTTGCAGCAATGTTGATATTGATATGTATCACGCAGAAACAAGCAAAAAACGAAAAGGAGACTTTACTAGGAAGTATATATGATAAAAAAGTATATGGGCTAGGTTTCACTATTGCTCCCAAAAGCGAAAAAGTACCGCTTCCCATGTACCTAGTCTGCGCCAAAATAAATGACGCAATGGAACCCGCAAAGCTAACGCGACATTTTCACATGCAGCATCGCAACCTCGTTGAAAAGCCTCCTGCGTATTTCATTGTACTTGTGTAGTAATTGCATTCTTTTGATCATGTTTCGTTTTCATGACATTTTCGGTTAGTTTTGAAGGTCCGCCGGTCCACAAAATTTTTTTTGAAATGTTACCGGTCCGCGAACTGAAAAAGATTGAGAACCACTGGTTTACACCTATTCACAAGTCTTCCATCTAATGTAACTAAATTAATCAGATTTTCCAGTGTTATATCAATACTCACCCTTTGCTGATATGGGCATTTGTCTGTGGTACTGCATCAGTAAGAAGCAATTCGAATCCAATCGATTCGTTTTTTAGAGGCTCGTGAAGATAATGACATATAAGACTATAAAGGCTGTCGAAATGGTTTTCTGATACGAGATAATATTCTATCAAACCTCCGACCAGTTGTTGGGAATGAATTCGACAGTGATGAACTCTTCCCTTGAACCTGACATAAAACAAAAATTTTGCATAACCCCTTTTTTGACTATTACCTTAATATTGAATATTCATAAATAAAATTATCAAATATATCTGATTTCAAGACATATATATCTGACAATATATCTGACAGTCAAGACATTTTTTTCATGTTCTTTCGAATATTGCTTTTTTTTTATCTTATTATCCACCAACACAAATAGTTAGTTCATCAACTGAATACCGAACGCAAGAAAGCCCTATTTAGGTTACCAAAATGAAAGAGTGTAATTTCCAATGAAGGTTGAACTATCTCGAATTACAAAACTGCCGTCAGGACCAGCATATTCTCGCAGCAGCCTCTCAATTGAGCCTCAATCTTTGGATCCATGATACCAATTTTCAGCATAGTGGAGTTCAGAAATTGCAGAAGTCAACTGAAAGAAAATAGAAAACTTGATTACTCTCTAGGGCAGACATGGGCGAAGAACGGCCCGAGGGCCAAATCCATCCCGCTAGGTAATTCAATCTGTCCGCGCGGTGCTGCCACGACCACACTGAAGATAAATTTTGATGTTTTAGTTAAAAATAGATCAAAGAATTGGTTGATATTGCGGTTTCATTTAGTTTTGGTACGAGGTTTATTGTTTTCCATAGTTGCTTTTGTAACACTGTAAACATTGTTCATAAAATGTAACTCTTTACGTCATACATACATTGCCCGCCACTCATAAACGATGTCAGAGCCAAGGTATTGGTCCGGAAATTATCATTTTGAATATGAGAGATCGCAGCCCTGACTATCCAACGGTTAATTTAGGGCCAGCTTTATAAATTTTTATCACTTATATTTTAGCATTTTTTTTTAAATTTTGTTCGTGCCTTTTCGGGTCTTTTGTGACTTTGGGACCCGCGAGTCAGTGGTTCGCCATCCCTGTTATTAGACCATTCCTAAATTAAAAAAATAGGTCGTTTTGAAAGGTATTTCTCGTGAGTTTACATATTCTCAATCAAACTGCTATTTATGTTCATGTGAACTCGTTTGTAAGCACATAAAATGAGCTTACAAAATCGAAGACATGATTGTTCAATTATCAGATATAGCCGCAGAAACAGATTTAAATATTCTGTATTTCATGAAAGAAATCGAATAGCAAGGATTTACGGTAAAAATTTATCTAGATATACATATTTTTGCTTTCTACTTACAAAGCGGTGTTATCTTCATTTCCAAATGAAATATCAATTGCTCCACTTCCATCTGCAAGATCACAGGTACACTGATCCGTATCGCCACCCTTACACACAGCCCCTTCTATCTCAATTCCCCGCAAAAACATACCAAAATAACAATTTTCCAAGCAATATTCATTGCTGTGTGTTACATGCAAGTAATATATGCAAGTAAAATGATCATGTGACGAATTGTAACACTGTTTGTAAATCTCCGTTTGTTTGCATTATATTCATTTGCGGAGCCTTAACTGCATGCAGTTTACCTAACAATGAGTAAATACGGTACGTTACCGTCAGACAATAGTATACGCAAATTAGAAAAATTCTATAGTAGTGAATCAACTAGTAGCGACACCGATATTGCAAGCCACTATTAACAATGCAGTTGCCACACACTTTTTAAGTATGATTTCTCTACCGACTTACTGTTTTTAACAGACTGGTTGTCATTGGATTTATTGGCTCGACAATTGTGTTCTAACCAATCCAACGGAATACTTCGTGCCTACATGACAATTGTGGAATACTGTTATTTTTTATATAATTTTTTTGTTGTTTAACAAATATTTTAGTCCCAAGGTCCTTAATCGGATATATTTTTCCAGCAGGAAATTCACATATTTATTCAGTGAGGTCGTTTACCACATACAAACATTGTTGTAAATGTAACGTCTTATGTTGCATGATGCCGTAATAGATAGTATGTGCTTTCGTTAGATATGTGAACTCGCAATCGGTTTTAGTCATTTGTATTTACATTTCTACATCAAAATCTTTTTTTTTCAGATTTCTTTTCGCGAGTTTAATATTTTAAAATATTCTTAATATACCATATTCGTAATATATAATAAAAAAATTAAAGCCAAATTTTTACAGAAGATAAATTAGAATGTTAAACAAGAAATTAAAGATTGTGTGTTCTACGTAGTATTTTAGCATCATTTTGGAGAAATAATAATTTTTGAAATGAAACTAATGTACATCACCAACTTGATTGAGATAATACATACCAATAGTTTTGCTATTATAAAAGATTATAAAAATGCATAGTATTTATTGCACATATATTAAAGTGTGAACAGTTCCTCGTCACGTCAGGTCAACTTTCTTCGGATAATCGTATTCAAATATTATCATAGTCTCTTCCAGACTCCCCTTTGCATTTGTAGACAAGGAACATGACCCCATCCTGTTGAATAAAAACATCTATGGACATCTATCTCTCTTGCGAGAATGAATATGAACATACTCGAAATTTTCCATTGTAAATATACCTTATGCAATAAGATCATAAACCACAAGTGTCCATGAAATATATTTACCGGCATTAAAGTGAAAGTTCTATTTACAAAATGAAAAAGAAATTTTTGATAATTGAATTTAAAATAATCAACCCTTAAAATGTTATTGATTTCTGCAGCTTCATTTATTTCGTTACGAAAAATTTTTATTACAAAAATGTTCACTCTCGAAATACCTTTATTAGTCCTGGTAACGAAGACCAAAATTCCTTGTTTGGGATCAATTCGGAACCAGCAGCATCAGTTGTTATCTTCCGAAATATAATTCCACCAATGAAGTAGATAAAAAGAACAACGAAAAATCTGAAAATGAGCAAAATTATTAAAAAGAGATGAGTTACTTATCAGAATCGATTCGAATATATATTTCAATATCAGACTTACATGATTAAAAATATTGACCCTCCACTAAGTCCTCCTCCACCCCCACCACTCGAACCTGGACATAATGCTGCTCCAGAAAATTGGAAGTTCTGCAAAACAAATTTACATGATGAAGCTATCGACCAAGGTTTTTGGCGCTCCAAAAGTGTTCCTATATGGAGATAATTAATTTATTCGCCTACTTCATATCAAGTTGTGTAAAGAGACTAAATCCTATGGGCAGGCGGTATATTTACTTGGCCAACACGGACAGTGCCCGAACTCGTAATAGATTAAAATAAGGAAATTGTAATAAAATTATGGCCTAACCCTAACCGAGTACACACACTACGAGAGTACCAGGTTTTTGATATATTCATGATAGTGAAAACGTTCATTTAATTCGTAGTATTCTTCTGACAAACAATAAAATGTCAGCGAATCAACAAATAAATGATGCGAACACCTGCTACAAGTAATAAGTAGTATAAAATAATCAAGATATAAAAAAAACCACACAGCCCGCTTATTCGGTCTTGTCAACAAACCACGACATTCATTTGCCACCCTCTCTGGCTATAGTTATTACCCAATCACGTCTCGGACTTGAATAAGCGACATACCTACTATACCTTCTATAAATACCGTAAACCACATCGATAACTAGTTCTGTATTATAAGAATCAAACTTCATCTTTACTTACGTAATTAGTAAAAGAGGAGTATAATCCTTGAGCTGTTAAGCTGTCGTCCTTCGCTTTATTGTCACACGAAAGAATCACAGTGGGTGAGCTGACAGGTAAATTGAATATTTACATTAAATTTACATTGTCCAGATACAATTTTCATTTTGGAAAACTTTTTATTTTATTTTTTAAATCTGAATATTTTACAATAGACTCACGAACTTCCGTCTGATGACGTGTAAAACAGTTTTAAACTTCCACTGTCATTTTTCCATGTCGCGCCGCTTTGTTGTCCAATGTCATAAAATTGTTTACTTTCATCGTTATATTGAAGTGTCTAAACGTAATAGATTATTTCTTTCACGAGTATACACCATTGGCATGTACAAGCTTAATTTTGAAATATTATGGTGAATCATACTTTTTTCGGTACTCCCGTAGTATGTAAACCAAGATGACGGACACTGGAACGTAGTATGGGTACCAGGTTAGGGTTAGGCCCTCACTTCAGGTACAAATACTACGGGAGTTTTTTGGCTAGTCTCCGAACTTGTAATATAACTGAAATAAGGAAAATTGGAATAAAATTATGGCCTAACCCTAACCTGGTACACATACTATGTTACGGTGCCCGCCATCTTGGTTCACATACTAGGAGAAGGCCCTTTTTCATATTACGCACTCGAGGGTTCCAACTATATTTAGTATATTGAAGTTTTCGTGCAGAATGTCCAATTGTTTCGCAGTAACGTTATTGTCAGATACACACTTCTGATCAAAATAATCGATACGTAACACAAACTTAATACTATAATATTGTTGCAATGCTAGTCGCCATTGAATTACGGCAAGTCCGGAGATGGATCCATCTTGTGATGTGAAATCATAGCAAGGATTGTAGGCGTACATGTAGTAGCCACCAGGATCCATTACTTTGTCAAATCTAAATGTAGAATATTGTTACCAATATACTGTTCTAAAAAAAGGGAAGTTCTAAGACAGAATATAAAATTATGGTGAGGAAAAAGTTCATCAATATTTAAAGAAGTACTTTATATTGAAAGTGTTCAATAAATATTTTGGTTCATTTTGGACAAAAATCAATCAATCCTCATTTATTTGATGTCATTTATTTTGTTATGTCGTTATGTTCACAGTCTGATAATTAATGTAAAAATAACACGTAGTATACATTGTATATTTATTTACTTATTCATATTTATTTACTCTTAAATTTCTTTTCTCTATATATCTGTTATTTCATAGAAAAAGTATGTAATAGCTATTTTGTGATTTTCTTATTTTCCAAAATTTTTATATGCATGTATCATTAAATTGTTTTGCTCCTACGTTTTCTTCCTCGTCTTGAAAATAATAGCAATTAATAATCAGAAGCATCTACATTTACTAAATTTATCCGTTAATCTGAATCAGCGTTGCAGGTGTTTTGCTTAAAGACCTTTCGAGGTCACTTGCGACTCCTGTCACACAATTAAAGTTTATCTATTTTTGTTTGCTTTGCATTTACCCTATTTTTTGTAATATATTATATTGTGTTAAAAAATAAATGCTGATTGATTGAATAAACCGATCAATGTATCTATTGTAAAAGAATTCGTTTTCAAAAAATAAATTGAAATATGCAAATTACAGTCACTGATATAATGCTTTTCACAGCGCTTAGCTGTAATATTATCGATAATTACTTTTTGACACAGAGAACAACTAATAATTCTGCCTGTAAGCATGTATCATTTATTGGCTACTCTTACATGTCAAACAAGAATTCACAATATCCTTTCCTGCATAAATGCTCGCCACAATTATTATCTTTACAATCGAATAAAAGTTTAAGTTAAATTTGCGTTTATGTAATTAATAACGAATCAAATATCAAAAATGCACATAACTTAGCTCCGTAAGAAAATAAAACTATATATAAATACTTACAACGGTGTTTTATCTTGCTTCCCGATGGACACCTCTACCGTCGACGAGATCGCATTTACATGCATCGGTGTCACTACTTTTGCACACTTGCTGTGCCAACACATACCTAAATAAAATAGCGAGTCCCAGCCACCAAAGAAACATGACAGCAACCAAACCAACCTAACAACTTTATTTAATACTGATTGCTGGAATATGGTTCGTACCTTGTACACAGTCGCTCGTGCTTCTATTTGCTGTTCTATAAGCATGTCGTGCAGAAAACACACTTATCCTACGCTCCAACCTATTTGCCTAAATCAAGCTTGACAAATATTTCTCTATATTGCTAAAGCTTAGTGTTAACTTTATGTTGTCGGATTTTGAATAAAAATTAACGACACGTGAATATATTTATATATAAATAAAGTGAAGATATTCTCTACCAAATACCTATTTTTGTAAAACGGTAAACATCTTTATGTTCATTCAATTGCTGGTTTTGATGGCATTGTGATATATTCAATTTTAGTGCGATATGAAATAGCTAAAATTGAAAACAATTCACAACCAACTGTTTCCAAACCTAGGTCGCCAAATACTTCAGTTGTCCCGCCATGTTTTCTACAAAAATATGGGTACTCCCGTAGTATAACCTATGTACCAGGTTAGGGTTAGGCCAGAATTTTATTCCGAATTTCTCTGTACTTTCCGGTTGAACTGAGAATATTTTAGTTCTATTACGAGTTCGGGGACTGACTGTGTTAGCCAAGTGAATAAACCCCCTGCCCATAGGTTTCAGTTTCTTTATACAACTTGATGTAAAGTAGCCGAACAAAATTAGATACACACATATTGGTACATACACTTCTGGAGAGATAAAAAATGCTGCAATCCAATGGGATCATTATGAAATTACCACTTATCTCATATATATATATTCCTATTTTATCGATTTGGCAGAGAACACGGGGTTATTTTCGCTGTATTTGGGCGACGGGAATATTTGAGCGACATTTTACTGTCGCCCAAATAGTTTGAGCTTTATTTTCTATATGAATCCATCGAGCAAAAAATCTGAAACTTTTTGTGGTTTTTAGCATTACCCTCAACTATCGCCAAATAATTTTGGATATGAAATTCGAGCAAAAAACTCTGGTTTTTGTCGACAGTTTCTAGGCCTAGCTATATTTCCTGTAGTGATTTTTGCCGAATTGTGGCCACAAATATATATCATGATCTATCTTATATATATCTTGTCTAACCCGATTATCTTTTGACCAGAATTGGAGGATTAGCGGGATAAAATATCCGCTATCGTATTGTATTTCAATAATTCACCGGAAACTTATCTGAGACTTGGGCACTGTTATGGCATATTTCATCCTGATAAAATGTGCAAACTTCAGACGAGACTTATGAGTGAAAAAATAGTCTTTGTCTGATCTGTCAGGAGCGATGAGAAGTTGGTTTTAGTTATCGATTCAAGTACTTAAGGATGCGGGACATGTTATTATGTAGTACAAAGTAGTATGCTATTATGTAGTATGCTCTGAGATATCGTATGCAAAGAAATAGTTTGGGATAATGGGAAAATTTATCACTTCGAGTCTGCAAAGTATCTCGCTACCTAATTATGGAATACACAAAAATATATGGAGCATTCGTGATATGTACTTTTTGCATGCTAGTGTACTTCGTTCAAATACAATTTTTTTGCAAATAATCATGTGTGGCAAGGTGTATACCACCGTGCCTATTTTATACAGCGAACCGGAGATTTTAATACAACAATGACTTGTAATACCTTGTCATAATGAAATTGTTTGTCGGTCAATGGTACAGAACAGTCACTCTGAACTGCATGGTCAGCGCAAGTCATTTTGCTGTTACCGATTTTGAAAGACTGATCATGGGGGGCGACGTTATAACAATTTAAAAGCTGGATTGGTCGTCTTGTACAAGAGTTTTTTACTTGTAATTACTGGACTACTTCAAGTTTACTCGTGACGCGGTTTATTAGTTTTTTTATTTAACTATTTATCCAGTATACTTGCGTGATTACCTTACAGATCTTCCGTACAACGGAAATTTCGTATTTTGCGTTTTTAAATTAATTCATGACAACATATTACATGAACATCTCTCTTATGAAGCCAAAATTAATTTCACTCAGAAAACCGTATGACGTCACTATGATTTTTTACAACGTTGGAAATACATAATACTAATTACATTAACTGGCGTAACTAATTTCCGACTATCAAATGAGCAAATGAGTTACGGTAACCTCTAGTACATTGTGAGCTATTTTGAACGCATCCCACTCGCAAAAATACATTACTTGGAAATCGGAAATTGAACGCTGCACAGTTGAAATTCAGATTACATAGAGCAGGGATGGCGAACCACTGACCCGCGGGTCACAAAGTGACCCACCGCGTTTAATTCCTGACATAGAGCTTATTAGCTTCACAATTTATTCTAACGAACTGTGGCATACTTGAAAGCGCTGTGATCTTTTTAGCGGACAGTATTCCTAATTTACGAATGGGATACAACTTGATATTGAACCTCATGGAATGGTAGGAATTAGGACCACTTTCAATACCGCAAGTCTAAGTCGCTCATGCCGATGCCGAGTTATTTCGTTTCCACTTTTATTCCCTTTGTTCTCCAGTAATAATTATCACGGTCATCAGGACACGAAACAATGCATTCGATGGGAAAGTTCATTGCCTAACTAGGCCGGGGATTACTAGGCCGCCGATTCTTCGTCTCGTTTCCGGAATGGTAACTATATTTGTTTAAAAAATGGTTAATTATTCAGGTGATGGTTTGATTTAATGATGTCAAGTACCAAATTACTATAGTTTTACCTTGCTCATATAAATACTTTTAATTGCTAATACAACATATTATCGCTTGAAAACTTAACAATTACGGCAAAAATTGCTTTTTTGATAACATCACCATCAATCATAATGCGATATTTTCCAATTTTTTGCCTAAAGTTGATGAAAAGCACGTGCAGTGCACTTATTATATTCAAATATATTTGAATACAACAAAAAAAAAA